TCTCAAGCATCATTTTATTTATTTTTTATTTTTCTTCCTGACTCCCTAAACTTGTTATCAAGCATCATTTTAATCTTTTAAATAGTATAAAAATCTTACCACCACCAAAATAGTATCTTTGTCTTTTAGATATTATTAAAATCAACCATATTTAACAAGCTTTAAAAATAAAATGTATCCCTTGCTCAAGAGACAGCTACAATTAAACCATCACTGAAAGATGGGCAGCTGATTTTGAAACTCTTAAGGGAAAAAGATTTGGGAATAATTATCTATAACCCATTCTAGAATCAATCTTTTCATCATTTTAAATATTATATTCACTGTAACTGTATCATCTCTGCCTTATATACATTTTTTTATTTTTATTTCTATTTTATTTTATTTTTGAGACAGGGTCTTGCTCTGTTGCCTAGGCTGGAGTGGAGTGGCACAATCTCGGCTGACTGCAGCCTTGACTTCCCAGGCTCAAGCAATCCTCCTACCTCAGCTTCCCAAAGTGCTAGGATTATAGGCGTAGCTAGCACTACAGGCATGTGCCACCACACTCAGCTAATTTTGCTTACTTTTTTGTAGAGATAAGGTCTCACTATGTTGCCCAGGCCTCCCAAAGTGCTGGGATTACAGGCGTGAGCCACCACACCTGGCTTCTGCCATTATAGTTGACGATAGAGATGAAAAGGTAAATGGTGAAAGCATTGTCTTAAATTTTATGCCACATAGTTGCATTATGATTATTTCCCCAAAAATCTGTTCGCTGCTGTAGTTGAAAACCAAGAAGTGGGGCGGGCTTGGTGGCTCACACATGTAATCCCAGCACTTTGAGAGGCCAAGACGAGTGGATCATGAGGTCAGGAGTTCAAGACCAGCCTGACCAATATGGTGAAACCCTGTCTCTACTAAAAATACAAAAATCAGCCAGGCGTGGTGGTGCACACGTGTAGTCCCAGCTACTTGGGAGGCTGAGGCAGGAGAATTGCTTCAATCTGGGAGGTGGAGGTTGCAGTGAGTTGGATCACGCCACTGCACTCCAGCCTGGGCAACAGAGCGAGACTCCGTCTCAAAAAAGAAAAAAAAACCAAAACACCATGAAGTGGTTCTACATATGTTAGACAAGTTATTCTGACAAGCCCAACTCCCTGAGTAGCCCTTTTTAAATCTAGCACTCCAAACTATACCACATATTCTAAAACTAATTTTGTTTAAGAATGTAAAAATTTTAGAAATAATGCCTCATTAGGTATCCCACTGATTCTTCCCATTCATTCTCTGATATGTTTCAGTGTTTCTTTGAGATGAATGTCTTGCTGTTCTGTATAATGACAACATTACTCCTTTGACAATAATCAGGGAACCATGGAACTATCTTTTCTGTACAGATAATATAAAAAGTAGACTCGTTGGGCGCAGTGGCTCACACCTGCAATCCCAGCACTTTGGGAGGCTGAGGCGGGCAGATCACCTGAGGTCAAGAGTTCGAGACTAGCCTGGCCAACATGGTAAAACTCCATTTCTACTAAAAACACAAAAATTACCGGGTGTGGTAGCAGGCGCCTGTAATTCTAGTACTTGGGAGGCTGAGGGAGGAGAACTGCTTCAACCCGGGAGGCGGAGGTTGCAGTGAGCAGAGATTGTGTCATTGCACTCCAGCCTGGGCGACAAGGATGAAACTCCGTCTCAAAAAAAAAAAAAAGTAGACTCACAGTTCAGAATGCCACTTGCCTTCCCGCATGGAATCATTTTCATGTCTGAGTGTCAAGTGTGAGACACAGTACTAATCAAAGAGACTGACCAACATTTTCCATCCCTACAGATACAGTCCTTAGCACAGAGATGGCACTGTCATAAAAAGCAGAAATGGTCTACAATGCTCAGATTTAAGGAAATGACAAGTTTTGAAAATCACTAGAATCTGGCAGTAGCACAGCCAGAATAGAATTTATTTCCCGTATCATCCTGCTAAATATTTTCCAAGCTATTGATTCTTCAGGAAACTTGGATAGGTAGGTATGGCAAAGAAAAACCTAGGAAAAATAGCTCCCAAGAATTCAGAGGAACTGGCCCAGTAATTAACTTTTTTTTTTTTTTGAGAGGAAGACTCACGCGGTTGCCCAATCTGGAGTGCAATGGCGTGATCTCAGCTCACTGCAACCTCTGCCTCCTGGGTTCAAGTGATTCTCCTGCCTCAGCCTCCTGAGTAGCTGGGACTACAGGCAGGCACCACCAAGCCCAGCTAATTTTTATATTTTTAGTAGAGATGGGGTTTCACTATGTTGGCCAGGCTGGTCTCGAACTCCTGACCTCGTGATCCACCTGCCTCAGCCTCCCAAAGTGCTGGGATTACAGGTGTGAGCCATCACGGCCGGCCTCAGTAATTTCACTTTTAAGAATTCAAGGAAATAATAGAGCAATATACAAAGAGTGTGTATACATGTACACTTACACACACACCTATATAAGAAATAAGACTATAAAGAAACATATACCAAAATTTTCTCAACAGTGTCTTTCTCTGAGTTGTGGGATTATCAGTAATTAAAAAAAAAAATCTATGCTTACCTGTATTCTCTTTTTCTGTATGCACAGAACTTGCATAATTAAATTAGGAAAGGCACTGAGATGTTTCCCAAAAGTATTAAGTACATACTGCCATGTATTAGGGAAATATGCAAAACATAAAACCTTTGGAGAAACCAAGTAGCACATGACATAATTTTATATCCTAAACTAACAAACCAACTGTGTAAGAGACTTTTTTTTGAGAGACACGGTCTCACTCTGTCACCCAAGATGGAGTGCTGAGGCATGATCACAGCTCACTGCATCCTTGACCTCCTGGGCTCACGCAATCCTCCCACCCGAGTCCCCCGAGTAGCTGGGACTACAGGCATGAGCACTAATTGTTTTATTTCTTATAGAGACAGGGTCTTGCTATGTTGCCTGTGCTCGTCTCGAACTCCTAACCTCAAGTGATCCTCTCACCTTGTCTTTCCAAAGTGTTGGGATTACAGGCATGAGCCACTGTACCTGGCCTACAAGAGACTTTTTAAGTAAGTATTATATGCCTTTTAATTTTTTTTCTTTTTTCTTTTTTTATTTTTATTTTTGAGACAGAGTCTCCCTCTGCCCCGCAAGCTGGAGTGCAGTGGCGCAATTTTGGCTCACTGCAACCTCCGCCTCCTGGATTCCAGTGATTCTCCTGCCTCAGCCACCCCAGTAGCTGAGATTACAGGCATATGCCACCACACCTGGCTAATTTTTTTTTTTTTTGTATTTTTAGTAGAGATGGGATTTCACCATATTGGTCAGGCTGGTCTCAAACTCCTGACCTCAGGTGATCCACCCACCTTGGCCTCCCAAAGTGCTGGGATTACAGGTGTGAGCCACTGCGCCCGGCCCCTTTTTATTTTTCTTAAAAATTTACTCTTCTTCACCCTACGATCATTTTAACACTTCCACAAGTTTTCCATCTCTGGAAGGAGAAAGACAAATGATTAATTCTTTTGATACTTTTGTCTGCAGAAAAATCGGTACCTCATGGCATACCTGATAGTTTGAAGTCTAAAATCCTAATAATTCTGTTTTAAAATTCCACTTCCATCCCTTCTCACTTACCCCAATGTCCAAAATCCCATGTCTAGGAGAGTAAAATTAGGACAGACATCCCTTTTCCCCCAGATATTCACATACGTATGTATATGAACATACACATGTGCATATTTATTTATATTCACTTATACTTAATATGCACTTAAGGTATAGAGCAAAAAAGTCTAGATACAGAGACCATTATCTTGACAATATAATTACTAGATTTAAGGCCTGGAAAATGTAGCTTACCATGTAAAAATATCTCACCACAAGAAATCAGTAATTTTCAAAGCTGGTAAAACTATCAATTCTACTAAAAAAAAACCTCGAGGCTACAGGTAGGTTGATAGGGTAAATACTAAAATTAATACCAACTGGGTTGCTATTAAGCTTACCTTACAGCTTTGAAAAACTCTGATTTCTTGTGGGTTTCAGTGGTGAGCTGCATTTCCTTAGTTTCAGCCGACTTCCCAGCAGGAATTCGAGTCTGATGAAAAATCAGCAAAAGGAAGCCCTCACTGAGAAACATACTGGTATCATTCACTGAGTGGAGACAGTGAAAAGGAACATATTTCTAAAGGCAAATTCACATTAGTAATATATATGTTTATATGGCAAAGATGGATTTAATTTCTTATGGCAGAAAGAACAATTAATTTTCCTTGAAAACCTGATTGCTTTTTCTACAACGTGTTTGCTTTTACCCTACCTATCTCTTTGAGATATTCATTAGTCACAGTTCACCCCTTAAGTGCCCTTTAAGAAATCAAAACAAAAAACCTTTAGGTCTAAATTTGAGCAGTAGTTATAAGACATCTTCTGGCAGCAACGCTGGGATCTTATAGCAGAAAAAAAAATTAGTAAAACAAACCTTTAACAATTTTTTGCATCACCTTTATCAACTCGGATACTACCTCTCAAATCTGTGACAAACAAATCTGGAAATCTTGCTTTATCTATATAGAAATAGGTTAAAATTTTAAAGTAAGTATTTGATAATTTCAAGAAAAAACATGTTTTCTAAAATGTCTTTAACACAGTAATTCACAATAGTATACAGTTCTAAAAACTTAGAAATAGAACTTTGCTTTAAAAACATCCTGAAATACATACCTTTCATTAATTATTCTGAATTATAAGGTTTATCATATTTAAACCTTGTTCTAGACTAGTACTGTCAATAAAGCACCAGTACCCACAGGTAGTTAAATTTAAATTTAAATTAATTAAAATAAAATGTTCAGTTCCTCAGCTGTACTAGCAACCTTATTAGTGTACAATGGTCATGTGAGGTTGGTGGCTACCTTATGGAACAGCACAGATCCAGAGCTTACTGCAAGAAGTTCTATTCAATAGCATTGCTGTAGACAAAACCTAAATGGGGAGACAGCATAGTTAAAAGGCCTTACCTGGTCTGAGGAGGTGTGGGTGTGTAAAGGGGCTGGGCTGGCCTAAGTATCGGTTTGGAATCCTCCTTTCTGGGACAGGATGAAGGGAGTACCTTCGCTGTGAACACAACACACATCCTGAATGAAGAATAGAGAGGGCGAAATGAAACAATAGATCTAAGAAGTCTTCATGGTGTAAATACACTTATCCATCTCCAGCAGTTTGGATGCTTTAGAAAAATGCCAACTAGTATTTCCTTCCTTCTCTCCTTCAATATTCATTTACTTATTTTTAAGACAGAGTCTCACTCTGTCGCCCAGGCTGGAGTCAGTGGCTCAGCCTCCCTAGTAGCTGGGACTACAGGTATGTGCCACCAAGCCTGGTTAATTTTTTTTATTTTTGGTAGAGATGAGGTCTCACTATGTTGCCCAGGCTGGAAACCCACACCATTTTCTTTGTAATCATCTTAGAAACTATGATTTTTCTTTTTTTAAAATCTTTTTAGAAGAAACTATGCTTTTTCTAAACAATCCTCTACAAACTTAATTGGAATTAACTTTTAAGACTCCTCTCTCCCAAATACATATATTATTATTCATAATTCGTAGTCCTTACAGAAATTGTGTGTTCACAAAGAGATTGTACAGTATTGATCGTTGAGATCAAACAGAGAGGACCTAGTGAGCAGCAGGGGGGAGGGATAAAAGCAAAGATTACAAAGTCAAATAAACCTGAGTTTGAATCTCAGTTTCTCTGGTACTAACTGTGTAACCTTGTCCAGATTACTTCTCTGAGTCTGATTCTGTGTTTGTAAAACAATGATGATAATGCCTACTTCACGTGACACTTAAAAATCTAATTCCTTAATTTAGAATGCAAAGCCTTCAAAGCTCTCTTATCTTCCTAATCTTTTCATCTCCCTCCAGCAGCACTAACCCGCTGGTGGAGTAGGCTGCTGCTGCACTGGTGAGTTCTCTCGTGATTTCTCTCTCTCCTCTTGCACCTTCTCCACATGCACGCTTGTGCACACATACTCATGCACACATAGTATCTTCTGTAATCTCATTCGGGAGTGAAATTTCAGAATATAAAAAGTTAACTGATTCCTTTTTCAATGCTCATATGAAATAATCCTAGCATATCCTTCTATTTTGGACCACTCTCAAGCAGAGGGAGCTTAACTTTAATAAATTCAAAGCAAACAAGTGACACTTTAACAGGAGACATAAATTGAGATGTTTATTCCCAGTACATTTTTTAAAAAGGTCTCAATAGCTTTTTACTTACATTAAACATCTTTTGCCCAAAGTCATGTAATTAGTAGCAAAGCTGGTGTGTTAAGTTCTATTTCAAAAATATCCAGTTCATTCATAAGTTTCAAACTCTTTTGCTTAGGAAACTTCGTGATTTGGATCCTGCTCCCTCATCTGATCTAATCCTCAAAAAACATAATTGCAGCCACACTAAGCTACTTCAAGAATTCCGGCTAAATCATTCTGTATCATAATAGCATTTGCATGAAAAAATACAGTTCTTTTAAAGAGGACACCGCCTGCTTATATGATTACACAAATTCTTTAAAAAATCAGCTCAAATAGCACTTATGCAGGAGACTTCTCTTACTCTTCTCACACCTACTGCTTCTGTTTCAGATGTCTTTGCCAATGCTCCTACGGTTTCTATTTTAATACCTACTACACTTCACATAATTGCTAATTAGTTTGCCAGTCTACTATGAACAATCTTTGGAAAAAGAGATAACTTGTTACTTGACTTTATTTTCCCAGTGACTTGATTTGGAATGTATTTTGAAGTGAAAAGTCAATGAGTCTGGCTTCTACTTGGACATAAGAAATAAAAAAGAGGAATTAAGAATAATTCTTGATTTTTGACTTCAACAAGTGAATAAATGGTTGTACCATTACGTGAAACAGGAAAGCCTGAGATATTTATTGGAAATAAATTTAATGGAGAGGTCAAATGAGCAATCTTAATTTCAGGGAGAAAAGTGCCAGGCTAGATATATAAATTAAGGTGTTATAAGCACACAGATAGCATCTAAAGCCCTGGGAATGGGTATTACCCAGGGAAACTGAACAAAGCCTGGCACTGTAATATTTTAAGTGTGAGAAGGAACACAGGAGAAAGAAGGAAAATAAGAAGAATGTGGTATTTAGGGCCGGGTGCAGTGGCTCACGCTTATAATCCCGGCACGCTGGGAGGCCGAGGCAGGCAGATCACTTGAGGCCAGGAGTTCGGGACCAGCCTAGCCAACATGGCTAAACTGTGTCTCTACCCGCCACCCCCTACCCCCCACAAAGAAAGAGTGTGGTATTTAGGAAGGTAAACAAACAAGTGTTTTCAGAAGTGGGGAGGGCCAGGCCAGGCGCGCTGGCTCACGTTTGTAATCCCAGAACTTTGGGAGGCCGAAGTGGATGGATCACCTGAGGTCGCGAGTTCGAGACCAGCCTGACCAACATAGAGAAACCCCGTCTCTACTAAAAATACAAAATCAGCCGGGCACAGTGGTGCATGCCTGTAATCCCAGCTACTTGGGAGGCTGAGGCAGGAGAATGGCTTGAACCTGGGAGGTGAAGGTTGTGGTGAGCCGAGATCACACCATTGCACTCCAGCCTGGGCAACGAGTGTGAAACTCCATCTCAAAAAAAAAAAAGAAAGAAAGAAAGAAAGAAAGGTGGGGAGGGCTCACAGTGTGGCAAGTGCTTCAAAACATAAGGAAGCCAAAAGGACGACCACTGGATATGGTAACATCAAAGTCACTGGAGACCCTGGCGATTTTAGCAGAGTAAAGAAGACAGAAGACAGATTGGAGCGTGCCAAGGAGGGAATATGATGTAAGAAAGCAAAGACACTGAGAAAATACTCTGGATAAGTTTTGTTGTGAAGAGGCAGAGAAAATGGCACAACAGATGGCTGGGAGGCAAAGGATCATCAAAGTAGGGGATAACGGCAGAAACAAGTGCTCGTCTTATAACTTTATACTCCACTGAAATTAGTTTTTTCAAACTATATGAATTTCTTAAGAGCAGAATTTCCTATTTTCTACCTTCTCTCTGTATCATTGTGTCAGAGGCGTTCGAACCAGAGCAACTCCATCTTCAGTAGGGGTCTGGTAAAATAAGGCTAAGACCTGCTAGGCTACATTCCCAGTTTAAGTTAAGACAGTCTTAATCACAGAATGAAATAGGAGGTCGGCACAAAATGCAGGACATAAAAACCTTGCTAATAAAACAGGTAAGTTATAGTAAAGAAGCTGGCCGGCTGGGCGCAGTGGCTCATGCCTGTAATCCCAGAACTTTGGGAGGCTGAGGCAGGCGGGTCACCTGAGGTCAGGAGTTCGAGATCAGCCTGACCAACATGGAGAAATTTCCTCTCTACTAAAAATACAAAATTAGGCCAGGCACGGTGGCTCATGCCTGTAATCCCAGCACTTTGGGAGGCTGAGGCGAGCGGATCACGAGATCAGGAGATTGAGACCATCCTGGCGAACATGGTGAAACCCCGTCTCTACTAAAAATACAAAAAAATTAGCCAGGCGTGGTGGCGGGCGCCTGTAATCCCAGCTTCTCGGGAGGCTGAGGCAGGAGAATGGCATGAACCCGGGAGGCGACAGAGCTTGCAGTGGGCGAAGATCGCGCCACTGCACTCCAGCCTGGGAGACAGCAAGACTCTGTCTAAAAACAAGGTGATGCATGCCTGTACCAGCTACTCAGGAGGCTGAGGCAGGAGAATGGCTTGAACCCAAGAGGTAGAGGTTGTGGTGAGCCAAGATCCCACCATTGCACTCCAGCCTGGGCCGTAAGAGTGAAACTCTGCCTCAAATAATAATAATAATAATAATAATAATAACAAAAAATTAAAAATTAAAATAAGCCCGTCAAATTTAGACATTGCAAACATCTTCTCCTAGACTGTCACCTTCCTGTGAACTTTACCTGTGATATTCTTAGTAATAAAAATATTAAAAAAAAAAAAAAAGAAAAAAAAGCTGGCCAAAACCCCCTAAAACTAAGATGGCAATGACAGTAACCTCTGATTGTCCTCACTGCTACACTCCCACCAGCACCCTAAGAGTTTACAGATGCCATGGCAACGTCAGGAAATTACCCTATATGGTCTAAAATGGGGAAGCATGAATAATCCACTTTCTGTTTAGGATATAATCAAGAAATAACCATAAAAATGGGCAACCAGCAGCCCTTGGGGCTGCTCTGCCTATGGAATAGCCATTCTTTATTCCTTTACTTTCTTAATAAACTTGCTTTAACTTTACTCTGTGGATTCCACTGAAATTCTCTCTTGCACGAGATCCAAGAACCATCTCTTGGGGTCTGGATTGGGACCCCTTTCCAGTAACAGTAGGTTCTTAATATCTGTTTGTGGAATGCCTAGAACCTAAACTCTTTAAGTCCTGGTCTGAGAAATGCAGTAGAGTGGAATGAGGAGAACCTGGAATCAGACTCAAGTTTAAAAATCAGGTTTTTCACTAACAAGCTACGTAGCCTTAGACAAATTACTCTATCTCTCAGAACGTCTGTTTTCGTATGGGCATAAAATACTTATTTTGCTATAATGCTGTGTCAGTGAAATGAGCACTTGCTGCAGTGCGACTCAGAGGGTACCCAAAAATGTTCAACATTATTAGTTACTATTTCCAATGGCAGGCAAATTATAATCATGGGTATGCCACACATAAGTACATGTAAGTACATATACTGGAGAGAATTTAAATGGAGTTTTAAGCATTTCACAATACCTCTCAAAAACAAGTATATAAAAAAATTAACGCAAAGCAAAAAAATATTCAGACCTGACAAATGGTCTTGAAAGACTAGAAACACACACTGTAGTTTTAGATTTCATTATACTATCATTTAAGTGAGGGGTTATAAATGTGATGGAAAATAAAATAAACACAACATAGAGGAGGAAAAACAAAGATCATTATAGGGAATTTTCAGAGACAATAAAATGAGCCAGGTATAGAATATAAGTTCTTTAAATTTGGGTCTAGACTACTGGTAATTTATCCCCAAAGCAAACCACCTTTGGTCTGTTTCTACCTGGGCTCTTGAATTCTACTTTCTCATACATGACTGAATTTCCAAATAGCAAC